TTTATTTATATATCATTCATTTTCTAATATAAATTTTTATTATTTTTTCAGGATCTATCTTCCAAAAAAGGTAAATTTTGAATAATATACACATTCTATCATATTTCAAACTATTGTTAGACAGATACTATATTTTAATTGTGTTGGTACAAATTTTTAACATTTTTTAATTCACCCTTTTATTTTTATTTTTTAAATAATATCAGCACGTGCGTAGCACGGGTATTCACACTAGTGATATGGCAGTCAATAACCACTTGATACATTCTCATAGGAATTCTATCTTTCTTCTAGTACTACTACTAGATTAAATAGGTTTAAGAAGTAACAACAAATTGTTAATAAGTGATTGCGAGTACTATTACTTATATGTACTAGTCCATCCTACTAGTGTATATAGTTATTAAGAGGTTGAGTATATATTTAATGTTCACTCTTAATAAAGTGTAAATTCTTTCATGGTGCTTTGCATTATAAAATTTTTGAGTAATTTCACCTATATGATCATAAAAGTTGTATTGTTTCAAATAAAAGTTTGTATTTACTTTTGTACATGATCATGAATCTGTAATACAGCATATGACTGGTAAAAGTGCTAAAGTTCTTTGTGAATTGATCAATATTATAATACAATATGTATGATATATCGGGTGTAATTTGCAAATCATATTTGAAGGCCATTAGCCTCCTTGATTTGGTTAGACTTAGTAACATATTTACACTAATAGAAAAGTTTAGATCAAAGTATAATTTACTATATGCTTAATAATTGATAGTGTTAGTTTGATATTTCATTACAAACTTAGTAAGGAATTGTTGGAATAATTAGTCATGAAATATATAGATGTATAAACAAGGCTTAAAAATGTATAGATAAAATATGTAACATAAAAATGAGACTTGAATTGTACAATATAAGACTTGAAAAAAGAAAATCAAAGGACCAACAAATTGTCCAAAGATCTGAGGTTAAATCTTTGTGTAGACCAAGTTGAATCTAAAGCCGAATCATGATCAGATAGGTTTTTTCTACATCTAACTTTTGATCCAGTCAAGATTACTAGTGATCCAATGTCAGTTTTTGTTGACTTAAGATGTGAACCAGATTTGGTTCTGAGTCCACTTGGATCTAGGATCAAATCTTTACCAATATGCAGAAAATTTTTGGTATTGTTTTACTTCAGATGATGGTTATATTGATATCAGAAGGTGTATTTTTATCATACATAATTTTTGAAAGCTAGAAACAAGTGTGGAATATTTATTTCAAATATATCTACAAGTCTCCTTACAATTAAATTAACTATTTGCATTTGATCATTTCTTACTAAGAAAATTTGATTTTGCTATTAATTTTTCTCTCTATAATGTCGTATCAGTAGAGTTATATTGCCAAAATCTAGAACCAAATTTAGAGAGAGTAATAAAAAGCTTTAGGATCTTGTTTCAAGATCATCAAATAGCCCCATTTCTTTTGTGAAGTTTAGTATTATGAAATTCACTTAGTATGCAACATTTTTTATCAACAGAAGGCTCGCTCTCAATCTTCTCTTCATGATTCTTAGGTGAATCAAAGAAACATGATATTGATATTGGTTGATCTTTTTTCTTCAAAGACTCTATAGCCTAGTAGGAAAAGGAGTTCTTTCAACTACATGAACTCTCACGTTGTTTCACTAGTAGTTAGCTAGTATAATTAATTTTTTTTAAATACGTCAGTGACATCTTCATTTTTTCACATTTTTATCTATCTTATATAGATCATCTGGTATTCTTCTAAATATAATTTTAAACAACAAAATTCATGTCGAGATTGCTTAAAATATACTAGATTAAATTCATCATCCACAAGGGATCAATGTTTGTTTACACTGAAAATAAAATAAAATTAGTGTGTTGAACCCACAATTTCAACCTCTTAATTGCCAGATCAAAATAGTGATCTTATTGGAACTATAATTTGGAATATGCCAAAATCAAAAGCTAGTTGGCTCAACTTATAATGAAAAATGTATTGATATTTACAGGTCAAAGATTTTGCAAGATAAGCATGAAAGTTAATAGGATTCTAAAACTAAATATGTTTGGAAGTTTATGTATGACTTTGGCTATAAATAGTAAAGTAAAATATATAATCAGTGAGCAAAACTTCTACTAATTGAAAGAACTTAATCGCTCCAAAGAGATCAATAGGAGGAAGACTTCATAAAAATTTCCTAGTGAGAGCTACCAAATTAGATGGAATAAGTGAGCTATGTGCAACTGCTTCATTTGAAAAAAAAAAATGAGTAGCTAAGAGGAGAATCTTCCACTGAAATCTCAAGATACCATGTTATAAGCTAGGCTACTGGATATAAAAAGAGAAAAACAATCATTACAATATTTACCACTAAAAGTAATTAAAACATTGCATAATTATAATGTAATTTTTCTTGTACTTTTTTAAAAAAATCACTTTTATTTTGCATCAAATGTTTCAAACAATGAATTGGAAATCATAGTTTACTATGAGGAGAATATTCTACTAACAAAATTGATTTCTTAGTTATCTCATAGAGCATAGCAAAAACATTTAGTACAAGAATTCTGGATGATCTGCAAATTTTATTTTTTAAATACTTTTAACTTTAAAGAATCAACTTTAGATTTTGAGGACATCGATTTTAACTATTTCATAAAGAAGCCCTTTTGTTCAATTCATAGAAAATAAAGATGGTTTTTTATAATGTTGAAAAGAATACAAGAATGGCATGGAGACAAACAATGTATTTTGAAAATTTTTATTCAATGATTACCCATTATTCAGAAGAGTTTGGGATTTTGCAATTATTTTCATCCTCCACTACATTGTGCTCTTTTTAGTAAGTTTTAGTAAAACAAACTATTTCTAGGTAGAGTAAGAATAAATAATTTATGCCTATAGTAGAACCTCTATAAATTAATAACTTCTATTAAATAATAATTTTTTGATGCCAACTTGGACTAATGAGCTAAATTAATAATTTTGTCAAAATAATAAAATAATAATTTTTTTGAAACCTTACATGACCATTTGGTCCCATTCATAGCATAAATTAATAATTTATTAAAATTACATATCATATTTTTCTAAAATATGAATTTATTGTTGATCTATGAATATCTTTTAGATGGGAAGCCATAGTTTAACAATGAAATATGTAGGAAGATTTTGTGTTTGTTTATTATAAGAAAACTTCCTTATCATTTTTATACGTAATATTGTTAATTGGTTCATTATATGCACTTAATAAAATAGAAAGTCATAATTTCAGAAACCTCCCCTGAGATTTCTGATAGTCTCAAGGACCTCCCCTGAAGTTCCAAAAATCCCTTATACCTCTCCTGTCAGATTGTTGGGCCCCAAAATGACTTGAAGGACGTTGAATTGACACAAATATCCCTGCTGTTGAAGTAATATATTCTGATAATAACATGAATTAATTAGTGAAATGACTAATACATGTGTTTAACTAACTTAACTGCAATTTGAATGCAAAATGAATTACTAATTTCGGTTAAGAGAAAAGGCGCCAAAAATAGGCGCCCATTTGGTTGTTGATGTGACAATGATAGCTGACTGATCGTTAATTTTGGTGAGGAATACATATTTGCATGAGCCATACTGAGAATGAGAAGAGCATTTGAGAGCTCCAGGAGAAGCGGGAGAGTCGAAGAAATTGAGGTGAAGTATTGCTGCAAAGGGTGAAGTATTGCTGTTCTGAGAGCATCTGAAGCAAAGCAAAGTTAGATACTACGTAGCTTATGGCTGATGAAAAGGTTACTGACCGTGTGGAGACTGAGAATGTCTTCTTATTTTCCTACATTAGTGATTAAGTGTCTGCTTGTGTTATTAATGTGATCACCTGACAGTGTTTTCATTATTTCTGGTTATAATAGTTATAAACTAGAACGTGTATTCATGCATATGTGATGGTGCTATTTATATGAATCATACAAAGTGGTTTGCATGAGGTCAGAGGAGTTACTCTGTCATAGTATTATATGTTTGTATTCATTGAAGTTCATAAATGGTGATCCTGATCTTGTAAGATGGTGACTGGTGATGTGCATGACATTGTACTCCATTGTGGAGGGACAAAAGTTCGAATTCGCAATATAAATCCTCAAAATTATTCTTTCATTAATCTGTTGAATGATGTTGCCGAGAAGGCATTACATGAAATGCCTTGAAATATTAATGTTCTTGTACATATGAGATGTGCAATACCTGGAACAGAAGCTTACATTGATGTGAATGATGATGAAGCTGTCCATGATATGTTTAGTGTGTATGAAGGTCAAACAATCATAAATGTAGAGGTGTTCAACATGGACATTATCCCAGCTGAACAACCTGCCATGTTGTTGAACAGAAAGTTTGATGGTGACCATGAGCGCATAGAAATTCAGAACATTCAGAATGCCTTGGCTGATGATGAGCAGAATGTTCATGTTATTGACAGTCAGGATAAGGGGTATGGGGGTGAATCGAGCTCTGATGAATCATGGAAGCAAGGATTTGATGATGACAATGAAGATGATATAGGTGATGAGCTAATGGTTCTGTCTGAGATTTCTAGTAGTGATGAAGATTTTCAAAACTTTTAGGATAATGAAACTGGTGAAATTGTACCAGATTCTGAATCTGAGCAAGAAATTGACCTTTTAAGAGAAGTGCTAAGAAACAAGATGTGAACTTACAATCCAAAGGAGGACATAGAATTCAAAAAGGGACAGCTATTTACTAATGTTGATGCCTTTAGAGCAGCACTGAAGGATTATGTGATCCAAAAAGGATTTCCCATCAAAAGACTGAAGAATGAGAAAACCAGGTGTACTGTAATCTGTGATGTTGCTGGATGTACATGGAGGATTCATGCGTCTCCTGTAGCTGATTCAATAATATTTATGATTAAGACATACACACCTGAACATACATGTGTGATGGATAACAAAATCGTGAGGCCACCTCTGACTGGATGGCCAAGAAACTGCTAGCTGTGATGAGAACCCATCCTCACTTATCAAGAAAGGGCATTGAAGCTGAGATGCTAAAATATGGTGTGCATCCTAGCAAACAGCAAGTGTATAGAGCCAAACAAAAAGCAAGAGAAGAGATTGAAGGCAAACATTCAGAATCATATAGTAAACTGCCAAAATATGTTGTGCTTCTAAGGCAACATAATCCTGATAGTGTTTGTAAGATTCATTATGACAAACCAAATCTACTAGTTGAACCAAGGTTCCTGAAACTTTTTATTAGCTTTAAAGGACAGAAAGATAGATTTTTAGCTGGTTGTAGATCCTTTGTTGGATTTGATGGATGTCATTTGAAAGGTAGTTTTGGTGGAGTATTGCTAACTGCTGTTGCATTGGATGCTAATAACAGCATATTTCCCATTGCATTTGCTATTTTTAAGGTAGAAAATAGAGAGACTTGGAGTTGGTTCTTTCATTTCTTTGAAGAATTCTTTGGACCATTCCATAACAATTCTCCCTTAACTGTCATGAGTGATAGACAAAAGGTATTATTAAACACTAAACGTGTTAAAGTTTGGACAACCTACTGTGTAGATATGGTAAAAAATGCTGACTGATTTTTGATTTTGATGTAGGGGCTGAACATTGCATATGAACAGCTGCTGCCATCTGCAATTGGAAGATACTGTTGCAGACATATTTGCATGAACTTCAAGTCTCAGTTTCCTGGAATGTTACTGACTACTTTCTTTGGTAAGCTACTAAGAGTTATGATGCAATTGGATTTAATGAAACAATGCAGAGAATCAAGGACATGAATATAGAAGCATGGAGGTACTTATCCAAGATTCCAGTTTCTGCTTGGGCTAGACATGCATTCTCAACAGAAATGAAATGTGATCATGTCACAAATAACTTCACGGAATCCTTCAATGCTTGGATTGGAGACTTAAGGGGCCAACCAATACTGACACTTGTTGAAGGCCTAAGGAAAAAATTTATGAAGAAATTACACAAAAGATACCAGAAGGCTTGCACATGGACGTCTGCTATCCTAAAAAACATCATAGAAAAGCTCAAGAAAGTTGCAATACATTCTAGGAGATGTTCATTGCAGATGGCCAGTGAAGATTTGTTTGAAGTTTCTGATGGTGACAAAACATTTATAGTGAGTTTGAACCAGAAGACATGTGACTGTGGAGCTTTCCAATTATCTGGACTCCCATGCAAGCATGCTGCACTTGGAATTATATACAAAAGACAGAAATTGGAGACATACTGTGATCCTTGCTTCTCAACAGAAATGTATTTTAAGACATACAGTGGCATGATACATCCAATTCCTCACGAGAAGATATGGCCTCCATTAATTGATGTCACACCAAGAACTGTCCTTCCACCACTATTAAGAAGAGCTCCAGGTCGTCCAAGAGTTAATAGAAGGAGAGAGCCTGATGAGCCAAGCCAATCTCAAGCCAAAAGGTCAATCACTATGAGATGTGGCAACTGCAAAGCTACTGGACATAATACTAGAACATGTCAAAGAGCACCTATGAGACAAAAGAGTACAAGCACAGGTGGCACAAAAGTTCAGTCTAGTGTTTTTGTTGACAGCATTGAAATTGCTAAGCGAGCTTGCAATCTATTATCAATTTTCATGTCAGGTTACTCAATTTGCTAGAGGGAAGCCAGGAAGGGGAATTGCAAATACAAGTCTTGCAGGATCTGTTCTATGGGTTACAATTCTTTTAGATTCACATACATACTTTTCGTATGATGACAATGTCTGATGAGCTAATGCATGGGTGATTTGTGCAGGATCATGTTGATGGCAATGTGCCTATTGTCGTTTCTAGTCAAGGCAGCAACCCAAGTCCATCAATTCAATCACCATTAATGAATGTTGACTTGAATTTCCAAACAGCAACCAATGCTACTAAGAGAAAGGTATTTGTTCCTTAATTCCTTTTACATCATAGCTGCACTTTTAATGCTTATTTACATGCCTGTATATTAATACAAAATTCGACCAAAATTTCAGAGAGGACGACCTTCCAACAAATCTGCTCCATCTGCTGTATATAACCGCAAAAGGAAAACTTCAACAGCAGTACCTCAACCAATTGCAGTAATGCATACTGCTGCACTACATCCCAGTGGAACTGCCCAAGTACAAACTGATGTCAACATCAATGCTTCAGTTTCTCATGATTCTCACAATGTCAGTAGCAGCTTCACCTTTTGGTAGAATCTGATTAAGAGTCTTTTATTATTTGGATATTAGAGGACATGAATATTTGATCATTAGTTGTCGACATTGGAGAAATGACAATATCTGATGTCTTGGTGATCTCATTTTGGTATCTGAACATTTGATATTTGATATTTTGGAAAAATTTATCTTTTGTATCAACCTAGATGCATTAGTGGAAATATTTGGCTATTGTACATATAAATTCCACCCCACTCATCGCTACAACTAAGTAGTATGAAAAGCTTCTCAACAGAAACTGAAGTTTCATTTGCACTATTACTTATACACTGTGTTTTTGTGTAATATGAGGATTTGTGGTATTCAATAAGCAAAACTGGAAGCACATGATAATGAATCTGGTTCTTTACTATTATGAATCAATACTTATTTGATCTCTTTTACAATCAACATAACAACATAGGCAGCTAAAAATACTAGGTTCATTATAAGCATCAATTTCACTATGGAGTTAAACTTGACAGCATTCAAATTCTGCACTTGATCACCTCTTTGCATGATTGAATGTCCTTCTGCTCTTTGCCTGCTCACTTCACCATCTTCAGACCCTTCAACCCACTGAAACAATATCAACAACAAAATGTAAATAGCTATGAATAACAGTTTCATTATAAGCAGCCATTTCACAATGGAGTTCGACTGCTCTACTTTGACAAACTATATTTGATCCTCCTTTTGCATGCTTGAACGTTGATCTCTTCTTTGGCTGCTCACTTCACCTTCTTCAGGCCCTTCGAACCACTGAAAGAATTTGCAATTTGAGCAACCGAAATAGAGCTTGTTTGGATTCCTCCTGCTCTCAGAAATCTTAATGCTTGCTTTCCGATGACAATGGCAATATTTATATCTTATTGAAAATGAAGTTGGAGAATTCCATGATGAATCTACCAGGCTTGAAGAAGCCATGTGTATCTGTTTGTAGGTATTTCAGCTTATACTTGTATGAGCACTTTTGCAGAACCTCAGCCACAACCCAACAACATCCAATGCTTTCTCTTGCAACTCCAGTAGGCAATTATATAGAGCTCCAAAGCAACATGACTGTTTCTTTTTACCGTTACAAAGAACTGCTTTGAGAGCTGTTGGCATGAAGTAGAACACAATTTCTTGCAATACATCCTTACCTTTTTCTATAAGTTTCACATACACCCCCTGAAATTTCAAAGGAACTAGATTCCATTGAAATTTTCAACCTAAACACCCTCACTAATGACAATCTTGAGGGCAGAGGTGGAATTTCTTTATTTTCTCTCTCCTAAAACACATTTTATATTCATTGTCCACCTCAATTGAGTTGAATCTGATACTTTCTACTTAGTTTTAGGGGAGGTATAAGGGATTTTCAAAATATCAGGGGAGGTCTTTGAGACTGTCAGAAACCTCAGGGGAGGTTTCTGAAATTATCCCAAATAGAAATGAACATATATCATTTAGAATTCCTAAATCTTTTTAATCAAGAAGATATGGACTGTTTCATATTTCTTAAACTTTTAGCCTCCTTTTATTAATAGAATAATTCATATTTTATAAAATAAAATAAAATAAAATAAAAGTTTAGTTAATTAAATAAATGTCTCTTTCAATTGTTAGTACATTCGATAAATTAATAAATTATTGACTTATCAATTAATTAATACTTCTTTAAATTAATAGAATTTGAATGGTCTCAAAATTATTAATTTTTAGAGGTTTTACTGTACTATACTTTTCATCATGCCTGAGTGTTTATACAACTTGATACATGCATTGCATGCTAAATTTAATATTTTTTACTTATTGTGTTTGCATTACATGAGAATAGGTTAAGATGGTATAGAATTAGTCTACTTTATTGCAAAATAAAATAATACAATTTTATTGTAACACATAAAATATGATATTGAATGGGGTATGGGAATAGTTTAATTTTTGATATGCATAAATCTACTTATCATCATGCTCTTATTAAATATCATAGGAGGAAAAAGTGCATTTAATAAGGCTCAACAATATATTAGATACTAGAGTAAAATGAGATCTTGCTAAATTAAATTTGTAGTACTAGAATTGCCTAATTTATATAATTCTAAAATTGCTCTAAATTCTTTCTGCATTAATGATAATAGAGAAAGCATCTATTTATTTTGAATTCATATATTTGAAATATTTGAATTAAAAGGGTGGTTTCGTAGGTTTTATATATGCTCAATGTTGGGGAAAACAATGAATAATCAGTAAAGAAAAAATCAAAACAATCATTACATTAAATGAATTAAATAAGAATAGAATAACAATTCTAATTGGCGGATAATTGTTGTGCATCAAAAAGATTTATGCTTACAAATGAACCTATATATGCATATTTACATTTCTTTTATCCTACTTTTGTACCAACTATATCATAGTACTAATTGCTTTTCTCATACCTTAAGCCTCATGGATATCATTTCGCTATTGATTGTTGCCTCATCTCTTCAATCACCTCTTTTGTTCATGCCAATCTCCTTTTCTTTAGACTTCTATTTTGTTTGCAATACTACTTCCCTGTCAATTGCCTTCTCTTAACATTTGCAACGTTAAAAAATCTAACTATAATGGGTTTTCTTCCAATCCTTGTATGGAAGTATTCCTTACATGCCGTCATTCAATCATAGGAATAAAAGAAGAAATGGAAGCATATGATTTGATTTATTACTACAACTTAAACTTAAAGATACTAAGTATCCAATATATAAAATGGGAGAAAGATATGTGTGGTGGCATGCATTCACACTTTGAACAAACTAGGAAGAATAACCGTGGCGTTGCGCGATGGAATAACCAGCATGCATGCCCATTTAGACAGGTCTAAGAAGGGTTTACATAAACGGCGAATGCGTGGTTGGATTAAATACTAAGAGTATGAGATATCCTAAAATCTATCACTATAAGTAAGTATGAAGAGAAAAGGAAATTTGGTATGCTGCAAAAGAAAAAGATGACATCTATAAAGATGGTTGCAATTCTGAAATTGATCTATTTGACAGTATTCTTAGCTGGAAAATTGTGCAGCAACTTGATAGATCAGTTCATTACACAAACAGAAGCATGGCAATGAATGTGCAATTTGGTTCCAAAAGTCAGGTGCTTTGATAACTAAATAGATAAATATACCAAATGATGATAAGTAATTGGGAGTTACATGGTATAAAATCCATTTCTGACAATAGGCAGCCATGATAACCAAAGCATCAATTCCAAGCAAAAACATCTAAATGGAACGCATAGCAGATATATAAGTTCAGCAAAACACAAGCTTCGCATCCAGTCAAGCATGTCTATTCTCGGCAGTAGTCAAAAGATTCGCAGCATCACTAATGCAACTCAAAAGAGGAGCATAGATAAGGAAAGATCAGACAAGTTTTGTTTTCATGGTGCTGCCAGAGTCATCGACCTGTGTAGGTTCTTCTTCCATTTCTCCAGCATCTCTAAACCTTCTTGTGAGACGAACTCGTCGTTTCGAAGAAGGTTCTTGTCCCTCTAGAACGAAAAAGCGAGCAATGCTAAGAAAGCGAACAAGAGGAATGGAAAGCATGCTTGTTAAAAAAAGAACCTGAAGAACCAGCTTCTGAGTTTTGTTGTTTAGCTTGGATAAACTGATTTTGAACACTGATGCAGGAATCTTTGTTGAACGAAGATGTTGCTGCATTTTCTTCAAAGTAATAAGCAACTGTGTAGCGGTGATTTCCACTGCCATCCTTCGTATTTCCTGGTTTCAGCTGGGCAATGAACATCTTTTCTTTAAATTGTCTATGTATATTCTCCAGCAGAAGTGCTTCATTCTGTTAAATAATTCCAGAAACCTACATTAGCATGATATTCTGTATGTATAAAATACACAGCTAGTCAAAGCTACTTGTACTTCCGACCTTGTTATAGCATTTCAAAGCCTCGAGTGCAGTGAATCTAAGTAGTGATTCGGCAAGCTCACCAAATATTGAAGCTGTGACCGTGTCAGTTTCATCAGTAAGATCAACATCAAAATGACATCTGCATGAATATGAACTTTAGAAATAAGTCAATAAATTCAACAAAAGCAGTGTTATGTAGAACAATGATAGTTCATGAACAAAGGGGAAATTTCCTTGGTACAGTTTTCTGTTTCTCATTACAGTGGTTGCATGTATAAACTGAATCATAGTTTGCTGATGTCATTCAGCAACATTTGATACAAGACATATACCAATACTTTTGCAGTATATGTTCAAAAGAAAAGCAAGCGTTAACCCATGACATCTGCAGAAGTTTGTAAACAGATTATAGGAAGATTTAGGTGTATATAAATGTATAAGCAGATCAAGAAAAAAACACAGGTGCATCATTTAAAGAATCGAATCCAACAGTAAACAAGTTATGACCTTTTGAGCTGGTGTAAGATCCACAAGCGAGGTAATTTTGTGGTTTCGATCATAAAACATTCTGGGACTATAATTGCTGTATGACTTGTATTGAACAAGAGCAGAGAAACTTTTTTCATTTCTGACAGCCCTATAAATTTCACCAGCTCAATAAAGAAAGCAGTGAACGTCAAGTAGTTCATCCCAACCAAAAAACAAAAACAAAAAAAAGGAAAGGAAAAGGAAACAATAAACATTGCGCACCAGTGTTTGAGTTGTTTGGCGTCTCTAACTGGTGGATTGACAAGAATAACCGAATCATTCCTCATTGATAAGGCAATTCTTGATAGGTAGATACAATTAGAACAGGAATCGTTAACACACATAGAATTAAATAATCAAGAACCTAACCTCTATTAGGTCTTACCTCCATAAGTAACAACCTTGAGCCTGCGACCTATCACAACTGGACACTTGTCCTTCTGTTCAGTGATAACCTTACCCTCATTTTCAATGAAACTATTCCAAAGAGATAAAATGATCGGATTCATCCTATATAACAAATAGCAAAATGCAACCTTTTAAGCTATTTTCATAGTACATAAGTTTGAGGACATAACA